AAATTAATTGACCCAAATTGAATTGTAGCGCTGGGTTCATTAGCATTCGCTTGATTATTTAGGTCAGAGTGCTCCATCTCTCTCTCTCTCTCTCTCTCTCTCTCTCTCTCTCTCTCTCTCTCTCGCGCTCTCTCTTTCTCTCTCTTTCTCTCTCTCTCTGTGTGTCAACACCACACAATTGAGGAGAACACAAATTTTGCTTGATCGAACACTTGCAGTGGGTTATTCCTTTCCAGACCAGTCAAAACCACCACAGCCCTGTAGAACAAACTGGAGAAAGTAAAGTAACGACCTCAGAGGAACTTCAAACTTCAAACCTCAAGAAAGTTTTTAAACCCAACAAAACCAAACATCTGAACTCTAAGCACTACATTTTAAGTGCGATCGTGCGAGATTCACTCAAAGTGACATTCTGACTCGAGAGAGAGCGAGAGAGAGCGAGAGAGAGAGAGAGAGAGAGAGAGAGCAAGAGAGAGCGAGAGAGCGAGAGAGAGAGAGAGAGAGAGAGAGAGAGAGAGAGAGAGGGGAAGGAAGGGAGGGATGGAGAGGGAGAGATGGAGGGACGGAGGGACAGAGAGAGAGGGATGGAGAGGGAGAGGGAGAGAGAGAGAGGAAGGTAGAGAGAGAGAGAGGAAGGTAGAGGGAGGGAGAGGGAGAGGGAGGGAGAAAAAGAGAGTGAGTGAGTGAGTGAGTGAGGGTGAGAGCAAGAGTGAAAGAGGGAGTGAGAGTGAGAGTGGAAGTGAGAGTGAGAGTGAGAGGGGGAGTGGGAGTGGGAGTGGGAGTGAGAGTGGGAGTGAGAGTGGGAGTGAGACAGTGGGAGTGAGGGCGAGAGAGGGAGTGAGAGTGAGAGAGAGACAGTGGGAGTAAGAGTGAGAGTGAGACAGAGGGAGTGAGAGTGAGACAGTGGGAGTGAGAGTGAGACAGTGGGAGTGAGAGTGAGACAGAGGGAGTGAGAGTGAGAGCGAGAGTGAGACAGAGGGAGTGAGAGTGAGAGTGAGACAGTGGGAGTGAGGGCGAGAGAGGGAGTGAGAGTGAGAGAGAGACAGTGGGAGTAAGAGTGAGAGTGAGACAGAGGGAGTGAGAGTGAGGGCGAGAGAGGGAGTGAGAGTGAGAGAGAGACAGTGGGAGTAAGAGTGAGAGTGAGACAGAGGGAGTGAGAGTGAGAGTGAGAGTGAGACAGAGGGAGTGAGAGTGAGAGTGAGACAGAGGGAGTGAGAGTGAGAGTGAGAGTGAGAGAGAGGGAGTGAGAGTGAGAGTGAGAGTGAGACAGTGGGAGTGAGGGCGAGAGCGAGAGTGAGACAGTGGGAGTGAGGGCGAGAGAGGGAGCGAAGGAGAGAACCCACACAGAGAAAGTTCTCCTCTATTCAACTCCTCAATAATGAAATTAATGCCAGTGGAGAAACAGGGAACACACAAAGGAGGACGCTGGATTAGACCTGGCTGAAAAATCCTGGGTCTGGCTCCGAGGAACTGCCCAGCGAGGGTCCGCGCAGCACACAGGCGGTCCACAATGCCAGCGCTTGATCACGGAAAGTAATTACACTGGCAGCTTCTAATTGGACGGCTCCCAGCACAGCACTGCGCATTGTTTCTGCGCCGCGGGGGTCATCAGGGTCAGCGCGCTTTAAATACAGGACTTTGAGAGCCGCGCCGCAACAACACGGGCCACTTCCTACTCACCTCGATCTGTTCATCCCCCTCTTTATCTCTCTCTCTTTCTTCTTCCCTCAATCACGGGCCTCATTTTCTCAGAATAAAGCCACGCCAATCAGACACTCCAAAAACACGTCCAAACCACCTCCATTACTTACACAATCAGCGGCCACTTCCCTTTTCTCTGTTCAGCCCCACACGCACACCACACACACACGCGCACACACACACACACACACACACACACACACACACACACACACACACACACACTCTCGCACGCACGCACAGCACAATGGAAGGCTGGCTAATGATGCAGCAATTTGGCTGCTGGAAGAACTCTCTCTAAAAAACTTCTCAATAGTCCTTCAAAAGGACTGGCTTTGGACACCGTTCAGCATCTCTCTGAGCCCAGTCTGATAAAGGGCAATTCCACCAACTTTTTAAAATTTCCATATAGTTTAATCAATAAGCAGTGAAACAAAGTCATTCAGAGCGGTCTGGAGTGAAATGCTCTTTTTCCTCTTCTCCTTTTTGCCCCTTTTAAAGTGTACAGAGTGATGATTATGGTGGCCGAGAGCCAAAAGGACTAAACAAGACGTTATGTAGGTACGGCTGAGCAATATGACCATATTTACGGTCCCTGTAAATTACATCACAATGTACATGTGATGAGGTCAGCACTTACAGAGGACTGAACGACTGCACGTTTCATTATAAAGAGAGCATAATTATTCCTGATTAATTGGATTTAGAGCAGTTAGGTATGTAAAACAAATCACTGTAATTATCGCCGCTGTCGGAACAAAACCTCGTATCTCCTAAATCGTAACTTTACAGGAGAAGGAGAAGACATACTCTATTTTTAATGTAAGTCAATGGAACCAGAGATTTTACCAAGTAATTATGGGGCATTTCTTTTGGTCCATTCATCATGAAATTTACACACAGTATAAAGGGCAACAGGCGTTTTCAAATCGTGTCAAAAATTTAAAAACGACAAAAACAGAGACAGTTTTGTTCTGACAGCAGCGCTATGCTTTTTTTTATTATTGTATTAATTAAATGTGGCGCTACTGTCTTTTACTATTCCATTCTACTATTGACTTCATCTGTTTCAATTCAGCAAATCTTCAGGCACCAAGAAAATGTCTTAAAGTACTGTGATATATTTGTGCCATATCGTCCACACCTACACAGGTGCAGAAGAGTTTTTATACAAAAATACAACGTTTATTTTATACCACTGAAATATATTTTGTTGCTAAAATGCATAGATAAATATATAACATAAAAGTAAGTCCTCTTATTGGGTGAGAGGATGGACAGACAAATCAAACGTCCTTATGAGCCGACTTTGGGCAGCCCTGCTCTAAAGCACCTAAGGTTGTAACAGTACTGTACACAGCACTTAAGTGAGCACTGAGCTAAGTATTTATTGTGATGTATTGTACAGAACTTATTGAAATGTATTGCACTGTGTTTAACTCTCTTTTCTCTAGGTATCAACATGGACTTGTACTTTCTTTAGGTGGACAACAAAGCACTTTTTTGTAAGTCACTCTGGATAAAAGCATCTGCTAAATGCTGTAAATGTACTGTAAACGTATTGTCCTTCCAGTTATTTTGCTAATTCGCGAAGACTTTCACGAAGACCTGTCCCTCGAATGTCACTGGATTCTCTGAATGACGAGGTCAGTGGGCTGTCAGACCATGAATACTGCTACCTGCAAGCTAACACTGCTGTTCACTGAACTCACATAAGACTGCCAACCACACAAAACACCCCACACAAACAAGCAAGCCTTGTCCAGTGTTCAGTTGCTTTGTAGTTAAAGTGCTTTGCTTTGGTCACTAAGCTGTGTTGGCAGCAGTGGGCTACAGTTTAAGTAGCTGGTGTTGGTATATAATAGTGCTCAAGTTTACAGTAGACTTACATGCAACATCATTTCAATGTGCAGCAGTGTTAGCTTGCTTGTAGCTCGCATATGTAGCATTATACGCATTTCAAATACAAAACAACTGTATAATTCAGAGGGTCCAGGGACAAATCTACACAGGACAAAACGTACTTAGTGTGGAATATTTTTATTTACCACAGGATGCAGCGGTGGGGATTTTCAACGTGATTCATTTTTCCCCATAGTGAAAAATCAGCTTAGACCTGGAGTTTCTAATATGCCCTAATAAATGACTCCAGAAGTAACTAAAACCAGGCATCCTGGTGCATCCTATCATAGTAAAGTGGGTGGAGAGTGGGCGTGGCCTATGCTATACCCGCACTTACTCTCATAGGATTTTTTTTTTCCCCTAAAATTCTAGAGGTTGCGATTTTTTGGGGCTTACTTTGTTAGAGAGCTGTGTTTCTTTTAAGCACTAATCCTAGATCAGATATCTATCTCATGCACGGCCATGCAACCATAATGAGAACCATCTGATAATAATTAGAGTTATGGGCATTGAGGTCCAACGCTGATACACAATATTTGCTGGTTTTCATGTTTATATCTGCCAATGCTGATCCTAATGCTATTCTAAGTGTTGGCCCCATCATCAGGAGATCACGGGTTCGACCCCTTGTGATGCTACAGCCGTCTGTGGCCGGGGGTCCAAGAGAGCACAACTGCCCTCGCTCCCTTTGGGTGGGTAAGATGGCCCCCCTCTCTGCCCCATCACTCTGCGCAGGTGCCTGTTAGCTGACGTAACAGAACTGGTGGTTAGAGTTCTCCTCCAAGCGTGTTCGGCTGTCCAGTGACGTTACATTAGCAGCAGTCTGAAATGACGCAGTGGCGATTCACAGGTCTCGGAGGAAGCCTGTGCTAGCTTTCACACTCCTAGCACTGGTGGTATCAGTGTTTGGGGGAGTCCTAACTAGTGGGTGGAATTCGATACAACTAAATTGGGTAGAATTGGGTAAAATTGGGAGGAAAAAAAATAAAACAAAGTAATTTTACCAAAAAAATTGAAATTGATCCCTTGATACCGATATAATTCTGCCTCCTTATTTTTTATTTATTTATTTTTTTTTTTTAACACTACATCACATCACACAGCGAGGCCAGTGGGTCAGCAGTGGCAGTAACTTGATAAAAAGGCTGCACGTAGGGCACCACTCTGTTCCCACTAATGACAGATATGGGTCACCTACAACTACCAGTGTAAACAGACCAGGCAGAAAGATCAGATCTCAGCTACCTGAATAGATGAATAAGCAATACTGCCTGTGATGTAAATCTAAGCCAAGGCAACCAATCCCAGAGCATCGTGACCTCAGCCAAACCAAACCACAGCTAGAACCAGATCAGCTCCAGAAAAGGAATCTAATCAGTAACTTTTGCAGCACTTACTTCTTGAGGCCCCTGATGCGCGTTCCGGGGCTCCGGGCGTTCTCGCTGTCCTCAAAGTCGTTGTCTTCGTCCTCGTGGTAGTCGTCGTCCTTCTCGGAGCTGCCGCGGCGGTTGCGGATGTGCAGCGGGACGTACCCGGGCGTGGGGCCGAAAAGCTTTAGCTCACCCTGACCCAGCAGACTCCTCTCTCCACAGTAACAGAAGGCACACAGCTTTTCTCTGAAAGAGAGAGAGAGAACAAAATAATGAGGAAAAAAGAGGAGAGACAGAGATGTAAGCACAAGTATGTGTCTGTAAGTGTGTGAGAGAGAAAGAGAAAAAGAGATCATGAAAGAGAAAGAATGAAAGAAAGAAGGAAAGAAAAAGAAAGAAAAGAAGAAAAAGAAAGAAAGAAGGAAAGAAAAGAAGGAAAGAAAAGAAAGAAGGAAAGAAAGAAAGAAAAAGTGTGGAAGAAGACCGAGAAAATATAAGAAAACAAAAAAAAGACAAGCAAAAAAAGAAAAAATGATGCTGGAGAAAGAAATTGAGAAAGAAACAAAGCAAACAAAAAAGAAAGAGTGAGGAAGAAAAAACAAAAAGAAAGGGTGAAACAGAGCAAGATAGAAAAAAATGCAAAAAAATTAAAACAATAAATTAAAATAATAAATAATAAATTAGAAAATAATAAATTAAAACAAACAAAGCAATGGAGAAAGAAAGAAAAAGAAAGGAAGGAAGGAAAGAAGGATGAAAGAGGAAGAAAGAACGAAAAAAGAAAAAGAGAAACAAAGAAAAAGGGTCAGAATAAGATGAAAACGGGCTGAGAGGAGGGATGCGAGAGCGTAACTGAGTTAAAGACCGGATTTTGAAAAGCTGAGAGTCTCAAAGAGACGAATCTCCTCCACAGTCAGATAAACAGACTCAGGCCTTTCAGTGGAGAGGAGCTGAAAACTGGACTGAACGCATGAACTTCAAATGAGCCAGCACACATAAAACTGACCATCCCAGCTTTTCATCCACCGACTGCTCCTCCTGCTCAGGTTCTCTCCACTCCAATTCCCCACTGACCGCACAGAGCCACTGGAGCAGAGGAGGTTCTGCTCGAGGAGACTGTGGGAAAGGAGATGGAGACGATGGTCCGCTTGGACGAACTCCGACACTGAATCAAACTGTAGCTCGCTCAGATGCCAAAAGAGCTGCTCGTCAACCACAAACCAACACTCGTCTCGCAGAGAGCAAAAGGTCTAAGGCATCCTGGGATACGAGGACGGCGGATCGAGATGGTGATTGTGATGGACACACAAAACAGCTACATGTACGTGTGTCTTTATCCGACCTGAAGGATCAATATGAGCTCTGATTTAAGAATTACACTGATTTTTCACAGGTAAAAAAGTCATAACGAGGAAGTGGCTGTCTCCTGACCCCCCTACACTGGACGACTGGACAAACCTGGTCAATGAAATATATCTAATGGAAAGAATTACTTTTTCTATTAGACTGAAGACGACAAAATTTGTAAAATTCTGGTTAAATGGGTTAATAATATAAAGTCTGTAAGACCAGAGTTTGTAGAGATACAATGTGAGTGAGTACTCCCTCCCTTTTATTATTTATATTTATTTATTTATATATTTATTTATTTTTAATCCCCCCCCCTCCTTTTTCTTCTTACCTAACCCCTTTATTTTTACCCCAAGGCATCTCCTCAGGTTTTAATGTATATAGTTATTTGTTTACTTTTACAGAATGTCAAAAAAGAAAAAAAAGATTTTTATTTTAAGAATAAAAAGATGGAGAGATGTGTGTATGAAAGGATTATATATAATTGGAAATTAACATGTGCATGGAATTGTATGTTGTCATTGCTTTTGAATGTCTCCCCTGGAAAAAATACAATTACACTGATTTTTCAAAGCAGAGAAGCAAATAAACTGACCCTTTTTTAAACTACACGCTGCTTCTGTTAAATACAGGCTTAAGCTAGAGCTGCAAATGTGACATCTTAAGGTCAGCCTATGCAGTTAGTCCCTCACAAAGAAGCTTAAAAGCTGTGTGCTACCAGCTTTATGTTGATTGTTGTATAAACTACGCATATGACCTTCAAGCTAGGCCATACATAACCCATAACTTGGGTTAATACATGGTAAAGGTAAATAAGTGGAGTACATTGCATTACTGTCGTATATCTGTTACTTTAGGCTGTTTCATTCAGTAAAGCCTAAAACCTTTTCATATAAGAACACACTGCTGTGTTTCACGCTTTAATGGGTCGTGTTCACGATTTTAGGTTTATTCCCGCAAGACCCGCCACAACACCTTGCAATGCAGAACTTATTTTCGGTTCTGTGCGTGGGAGCGGGTGGGAAGACAGCCCACTGCAGGCGGGAGCGGGCTGAAGCACGCATGAAGAGAAATCCTGCAAATGAACGAACATCCTAAATAAAGCAGAACGATCACTAAACCGTACATAAACCCTAAAATGACAACAGTAAATCAATTAAAATGAACTAAGTCATTCTAAAGAGAGATCAAGTGAACAACAGGCAAATTCTCATAAGCTTACAGAGACGGCAAAGCCTTCAGTCCGACGGCCACAGCTGCCCAGTATAACACCAAAAATAACCGCTCTGTGGTTTAATTCCTGCTTTGCGTTCACTGGGAATAAATGGCGTTTGGTGAAGTTACTCAAAGTGAGCCTGATGACCGTGACTGTTGTGAGAATAATGTATTTGTGAATAGACTATCAGATATTGGATGTCAGTTCATCTCGATTGAGCTGCACGGGCGGGAGCGGACCAAACCTTTCGGTCATGGGCGAAAGCCGGACAAATGATTCCGGTTTTCTGCAAGAGTGGTACTGTTTTTTCAGACCTCTAAAACTAACCAGGCGTCACAATGTTTATAACACCAATAAAACCATTTTATTTACTACCCGAAAGTTTTTAATATGAAATGTTGATAATAAAACACTGGTAAAGCTGTACTCTGTTTTCTTTGGGGTCTATTTTGCCTCGTTATACACTGCATTAATTTAAAAAAGAAAAAAAAAAAAAACATTTTAGACCAACATCATCTCTAAACGGTCATAAAACAACCTCTCAGGCATCAGGCAGCAGATTCACAACCATTTCACGCAGCAATTCACCTAAATGAAAACCCTTGGCCAAAAGCCAAGTAAGCTCAGCAGCAAAAAACTAAACTGAAAATCAGAGTTTACATAAATCCAATTAAATTCACTAAAATTACTGATTTTATACACTGCAGTAAGTGCCACAAAACCCAGCATCCTCCACAACAGAAAACAACTGGTCAACTTCTCACTGACAGCATTGAGTTCCATTATTTTTTAGCTCCATTTTGAATTTGGCTGTTTTTTTTTTGTTGCTCATGAATCTTTTCATTGTTTCAGTCTACAGACGACGTCAACCTGCTGCAGTGATCTTCCTTGCTGCTTCTGTGTATCGAGCAGGATGTTGTGCTTTCAAGTGGTATTACACCTGTTGTGGAGAAGGTCTTGGGTGTTTTATCTCTTCTCGACACGACATGAACAGAGATTATAAATCGCTTGTTTCATGTCCCTTAAAAAGGGACAAACAATCTGATTTTCACTACCATTAAAGACATTTGTACAGCCACAGATTTTAATACTGCATTGTAGGCCTACGTAATCTTGTTTTGGTCAAATTTTTCAGCCACTTTTCTCTTTCAGTCGAAAACGAAGTTCCATTTTTGACCATTTCAGTCAAAAAATTTCAACGGCTAAAATTCTGGAAAGTCCCTGACATTACATAGCTTTGTGATGTAGCTTTTCACCCTTCAGACGTCTGGTTCCCATCACCGCCACTGCGTACAATTCAGTTTCTCTAGACCAGAGCATTTCACTTCACACTGCGCTGAATGACTGTTTACATACTAACAGTTTAATTATGCAGAAATTAAAAAAGTATGACCTCTTAGGCATAAAATGGATCAATACTGGCTACAGTAATCCTCTTTGGATCTTTAGTTAGGGTTATTTTATTCCATTGCGATCTATTAACACCCCTGTCAGAGGTGACAGACATTATTCACAACTTGTGACCACGGGTTTTGCTGGCCACCTTTCATCGAAACAGTTAGACTACCCACACATAAAAACCGTAAATGAGCGAGGGTGAAAATGTATGTAAAATGTGAGCCATTACACGTTTACAGTCCATTCAATGCTGAGAAAAAGTTAATCATGCTTGCTGAACCAACATGAAATTCAAAAGAAATAAATACAAGACACCATAAAAGAACCATTTCAAAAAGGCACTTCAAAAACCCAAGTATATCAGTTCACAGTGTGCAGTTATTCTGAAAAAAAAGAGTGAATTCACTTCGACAAACAGAAGACTAGGGCTGTCTTCACATGTAGTTCTTTTCAAATGAATCGAACTGAGTTCTGTTAAAGTGAACCTGAAAGGGAACCGACTGCAAATGACCTCCGTTCTTTTTGTGCTCTCAATGTCAGTGAACTCTAAAGAGGACTCTTTCTTTCTGGTCCTTTGAGATCTCAGACCACTTCTTGCTCAGACCACGACTCCATTAGAACACAGACCCCTTTCACACCACTCTCGGCGTGCGCAGTGCTCGCAAAGTGGGCAGCGTTTTCTGATAAATCTAACCTCTCAGGTGGTGAGAGGAACCAGCAAACACACCCGCTGCTGTCCTATGGGCCATGCTAAAGCGATTGGCCGAAGTGCATCACGCAAAATTGGAAAAGTGAGCCTGCGTGTCTGCCGCGGCGGGCTCGGCACTGAGCTCCACCTGGTGAAAATTCGCATCTGCAATGAAAGTGTATTTAAAAGAGCAGCAGTGAATTTTCATTCATTCAGCGTCCAGCATGAGCCTTTAACGTGGTTAAATCTTGCGGGCTCTCGCATTTTATCGCTTTAGCATGTCAGGGCTGCTGTCCTGTCGCAGATCATAGACAGGCTTTATCCTGAGTAGCACCTGTTAAATGATCCTTGGTCTGTTTTTACCTGCTGAAGACTGTCTGTGTACGGTGAGCCTCGAGGTCTTCACCACAAAGCAAAGCAAAAGCGGTTTTCACAACGCACGGAATCAATCGAGCCACAAAACGAACTACAAACGAACTGAACGGAGACCTTCTTGAGAGATGGAGATGGTTTGGTTCGTTTTTGGGGCCATTTAGAGGAGCCTGAACTTGTTTGGCCTGTTCACACACGCACAGAAAACCATGACTCAGCCAT